CCACTTCGCTGCTCGCGCGAACATTCCACCCACGCGCCCGCAACTTGGTTTGCAAACCCCAGGCGGCGGCGATTGCGATGAGTGCTTGGCGCTGGCTGGTGCATCTCTCCGGCCGCGACAGCCCGCGCATGCACGCGCGAACGCGTGCATTTTGGCGCGACCGACTCAGCCGCGGTGGCGCTGACCGCTGGGCACATCCCAGCGGGCACTTCAGTGCGAGTCGGCGACGGGCGGGCGCGATATCATGGCAACGTCGACAACGGTAGACACGGTGATGATAGTAGCGATGCTGGTGACGATGCTGACAGCGACGATCACGGCCAATGACGGCGCGGATGCTGATCACTCCGCCGAAGATGACGGCGCCGTCGCGTCGGCGATGAAGGCTTTGGAAAGAGTTCGACGTGCGCGCGCGGCCGACGCGCGAGAGTGGCCCGCGTGGTATGATGTGACACGGATCGCGCCCCCCCCGCCACCACGCGCGCGAGGGCGCGCGAATGATGTCGGCATGCGGCGCGAGAGGCCCGTTGAGCAGAATTCAATGAAAATGTTGAAACACGTATGGTTTTATTAATAATTCGCAATAGCGCGCATTTTTTTTGAAAGCCGATTTTGCGACACCATGATATATCTCTATATATATAAATGTTCTTGACATTCGGTTTCGAAATCGCTACGAAGCCGAAGGTTCTTGAAGGCTTTCGACATGCGCGCGCGACGACGCGCGCGTGTGCACGTCGTTCCATTTTTTGCCCGGATTCTCGCGACGGCACGCGCGCAAGGGCGTTCGAACGATTTCGACGTGCGCGCGCGAAACCCGTTTGGTGGTATTTATGAATCTGTTGAAACGCCCATGTTGTTCCTAAGAATCCGGACGAGCGCGCGTACTTTTTGTTCGTGCTATACACATATACGTATACACCTACACACATTCACGCATATACACATATACATAAATATATACACATATATGGGCATATACATGTTTCCAAACATATATATATATATATATATATACAGTAAAACGGTAAACTTACAATTATGAGGGCTGTTTAAATAGTTGTATCAATACATGTATATGTGTATATATATATATATACACAAAAACTCCGTGTTGCGATACAATGTGTGTTTATTTTTTGGACTCTCGGATTATGACATCCTTCCAACACAGGAAGTTTTTGAATAATTTCGGCCTGCGCGCGACGAGGCGCGCGTGTGCATTTCGCTTCGTTTTTTTTCTTTTTATTATTTCTTTTATTGCATTTTTTTTATTCTTTTTTTTTTTATTATTCTTTGTTGTATTTTTTTTTTTTTTTTTTTTCTTTCTTTTTGTTTTTTTTTTTATTTTTTCTTTTTTTTTTTATTTTTTTTTTTATTGTTATTCGTTTCTTTATACTTTATTTATTTTTTTTTTTATTTTTCAGCGTTTTTTTCTTCCTTCTTTTTTTTTCTTTTTAGTTTTGAATTTATTTCGTTTTTTTTTGTTTTTTTGTGCGAGGGTTTTTTGAAAGTATTCATTTTTGATCTACGAGTGGCGGCTAGTATTTCTTTGCCGAGGGATGACGGGGGGGTCGATACCAGGTGGGCTGGGGATGGTATGAGTTCACCTCCCATAAGGACGCACACCTCATCCCTCCCCCCAACCACCCCACCCTTCCCCCACGCCCCCCCCCCCACACCTTTCCACCTCCCCCCCGCCCCCACGCCCATACGGGTTCATATTTCGGATAGACGATGGTTCGGATAGACGATGGGCAGAATCATATGTAAATGCAAACGAAAGGGAGACCGATAATCCCGGGGGGGGGGGGGGGGTAGAGTTTTTTTTTTTGGTGGTAGAAAGGAGAACCTATGTGGTGTGATCGATACAGTGCAATCTGTAGTGTCCAATCTATGTAGTGCGATGCATGTTGTGCAATACGCGCGGTGCAAGCTATGTTGTGCAACTTATATCATAGAGGTTCCGGGATCGCCTTCATGACCACGCTAACTGTTACATCATTTGCTAGCTCGTCTGGGCTTGCTAGTGAATCGTGCTCTTTAATCAGCAAGTCCATATCTTCCAGGCGCTCAAGAACCTCTTTGAAGGAAGAGCCCGAAAAACTGAACTCCATGATTGCGTTCAGAACAATTATTGCAGTGCTTTTGTGTTTGTGTTCATACCTGATGCGCATCCTCCGCTACACCTCTCAAGACCTTTCTTTGTATCTATCTTCCCAAATACTGTCGCCATATGTCCATACACAACGCTGTAGATAAGATATGCTAGATTCGCCGATTGTGATATTACATCTTCTTCTGTGGATGCGAGAGTTGCATATTCTGCAACATTACTTGGCTCACAGCTCCACAATAGTGTTCGCAACGAGAACACCAATCGCTCCACTCACCCTCGTCACCGGAGAAATCTTTAAGACCACATCCTGAGAGCTTCGTGTCGATCACTGGTGCCATTCTCCTTACACATCTTCCCAGTGCCCTACTTTGGATTGTGTACACTACTGCGCACTAAGGCTTCCCAGAGCCTTACTTGGATTGGGGATGTATCCTAGGGCCGTGTAATGTTCATCACGGCTCCGCTACCATGAAAAGCTACGCGGGCGCGCGGGGGAAGGCGGATACCGGTTTTGCTATGGATAGCGCAAGTTGGCTGCGGAAAGATGGTGTTTAACAGGATGATGATGATGATGATGATGATGATGATGATGATGATGATGATGATGATGAGGATGAGGATGGTGAAGATGATGATGATGCTGATGATGATGATGGTGGTGGTGGTGATGATGATGACGATGATGATGATGAGGATGCTGCTGATGATGATGACGATTGTGATGGTGATGGTGATGGTGATGATGATGATGATGCTGATGCTGATGCTGATGCTGATGCTGATGGTAATTATTATTATGATGATGATGATGATGATGATGATGATGATGATGATGATGATGATGATGATGATGAATTGTGATGATGCTGCTGCTGCTGATGATGCTGATGATGATGATGATGATGATGATGATGATGATGATGAGGAGGAGGAGGAGGAGGAGGAGGAGGAGGAGGAGGAGGAGGAGGAGGAGGAGGAAGAGGAGGAGGAGTAGAAGGAGGAGGAGGAGGCAGGAGAAGGGATGAGGAGCCAGGAGGAGCCAGGAGGAGCCAGGAGGAGCCAGGAGGAGCCAGGAGGAGGCAGGAGGAGGCAGGATGTGCCTTGAGGAGCCAGTAGGAGGAGGCAGCAGAGGTAGGAGGAGGCAGGAGGAGGCAGGAGGTGCTAAAAGGAACCGGGAGGAGACAGGATTTGCCAGAAGAAGCGAGGAGGAGGAGGAGGAGGAGGAGGAGGCAGGATGTGCCAGGAAGAGGCAGGAGGACCCAGCAATGGTCCATGACGAAAAGCCAGTCCTGGGGAAGGGGTCTCGGAACTCTGGGAGTCCACGCTGCGAAGCAGTCACAGCTTCGGGGGCCTGTGTGGCGGTGAGGGGCTCCCCTCGTAGAGAAGCGGGCAGCTGCAGAAGCATAAACAGACTTTCGGACGTCTGTGGACGGTGTGTCTGTCCGCCTGCGCCAGAGCCCCTCCCCGCCGCTCCTGCTGTGCGGCGTCTCTTGCGCCGCTCTCCCCCGACCCTGCGCGCTGGGGAGGGGGATGCGGCGAGAGGGTCTGGCGCCAGCAGAGAAACCATCCGCGGGCGCCCGAAAGTTTGTGTCTGCGTCATTATTTGGTCCCCTAGTCTGGCCAGCCCTCCTCGCAGCCCCCCTCCGGCCTCGGAGACGGGGGTTTCGGTGCACAGGGTTGGCCCGACCCGCTTCACCCTACAAAGTCGCCCCTGGGAACCCTGCGGCCGGCGGCTGGCTCCCCGAAGCAGCTGGGCACTGCTCGCTGCCTTCCTCCCTCTCCCAGTGCTGCCTGTGGGCCCGCAGCCGTGGCTTGTCAGGGGCGGGGCGCGACTTCGGCCGCGCGCTCATGCTCCGCGGGGCGGGTGTCGCCTCCTGTCTCGCCGCCGCTGCGTACCTCGCGTGTTCTGCCCACGGGAGCGGCGACCCCAATGTCACGCTCTACTTTGGCTGCGGGTGCTTCTGGCACGTGCAGCACGAGTTCATCACGGCGGAGAGGTCCATCCTTGGGCGCACCGATGCCGAGCTGACTGCTCTCGTCGGATACGCTGGCGGTACGGGTTTGAACGACGTCGGGAAGGTTTGTTACCCTCCTTCTAGCCAGCACGGGGATGCTGGTCACTACCATGCTGAGGTGGTACAAGTGACGATTCCCAGGAGCGAAGTGCTGGCTGTCGCCGCGATGTATTGGAATCTTTTCGTTGGAATCAATCGGATCGAAGACGCTTCCGGCGAGTCACCTCCGCTTCCTGCCTTTTCAGAATCGCCTGGTTGGCCTCACGTTTGGTCACCTTTCGGCCGATCGATTGGATGGTGTGTTCTCTCGGCCGTTGCAGAAAGAGCTGCGGGATCATCGGGCGGCGACTATGCGTCCTTTTGCTTCCCTGTGTCTTTAGCCCTGGTGCGGTCTTCTTGGCGATCTCTTGAAGTCCTTTTGGGCCATCTTGGGCCATGTTGGAAGCCGTCTTCTCGGAGTGGGGGCGGGGGCTCGGCGGCAGCAGCCTCAGGGCTTGTGGCAAGGTTTTGCAGAGCTGAGCCAAAAATGACTCTGAGGAAGATCTTGGCAACTTGGCACGCCCGGGTCACCTGGGGTGATCCACATGTGGCGGCGGATAGACGTTCAGGACGTCGGCCGGTGGTACCGGGCAGCGATCGGCATCCCTGGCGGCGTGTCTTCGCCATTGTTCGCGGATATCCAGACTGCACAAACGGGGGTCGTGTCCCAGACTTTCCAGCTCCAGACGGGTTCTGGCGGGGATGCTGACACGCTCGGGCAAGCGCTGGTTTGGGTTTACGATTCCGATCAGTTTCCCTTCTACCAGGGCGAGGTGTACCACCAGTTTCACGACGACATGATGGAGGACTACCCAGGCGAATATCCAGTTGCGCTGCTGCGTGTGTCCGTCACCGTGCTGGGGGAGGAGTGCAGGCTAGCGAGGGTAGTATGGGGGCTGGGGCGGTGGTCTTAGGAGGAGGGGCCCCCCTCCCGCCGTGAAGCTGCTGGAATTTGCAAGCCCTCTTCCTTTGCCATAGGTGCCGCAAAGTGGGAGATGCCCCAAGCTGACGCGTGTTCGCCTCGATGTGGTGGGGGGCCTCGGCATTGCTTCGCAGTGTGCTAAGCTGAGGACAGACAGAGGGAGGGCCGACACTTTTTGAGTCGGCGGCGCAGAGGGTCCTGAAGCACGGGCAGCAGGTGGAAGTGCTAATTGCGATCGAGTATTGTCGAACACACAGTGTGCGAGATTTCGCACTCTATAAAGTGCACACGCACACATGCACAATCGCACATACACACACACACACGCACATACGCACACATACACGCACACACGCACATAACACACAGCACACAATGCACACCACACAACACACAACACACAACACACACACACAACACACAACACGAGCACAACACACATACACACATACACACCGCACAACACATGCAATACACAACACACAACGCACAGCATAAACAACGCACACAACACACAACACACAACGCACGCACACACACACACACTTTGTTGGGCGTCGCGGCCCCGCGCGCAGCGACAGGGCGTAGAAAGGTCAGAGAAGCAGGCGCGCACGCACGTCTAGACGGCCGAGCTCTCAAGCCGCTTGGAGCCAAGCAGCGCCAGCAGTCGGCCATAAGTCATCCGGGCATGGATGACGGAGGGGTCAGGCGAGGGGGGGCAGACGAACGGAACCCGACCAGGGTGGCGGACGGGGGCAGGCCGAACGGTGAACGAGGACAGGACGCTAGACGGAAACCGAAACTACAGCGCTGCCATGGCCAGACAGCTGGCAGAAGGGCACGACAAGGAAGAAGGGGGCCGAAGGCAAGCAATGGCGGCAGGGACACCGCAGAATGCCGCAACGACGAGGTTGCAGCGCTGGCGAGCCCGCCGGAGCGCCGGAAACGACAGCGAACGGGAGGACAGGCCAGAGAGAACCGACGGGGCCCGCGGGCGGGGATCCCAGGCGAACTGCCCGGCCGAGGGCTTGCGCCGAAAGCTCAGGAAAAGGGGAGCAGAGGAAGGCGGGGACAGGCCAGGGGCCCAGGTCCTGCGGGGACTGCCCTCCTGGAGGGCAGTGCGAGCGCACCTAGGTGCCGAAGGCATGCTGGCCGAGGTGAGGAAACACCAGCCCAGAGCTGAGGCACGTGCGGGGGGCAGCGCCCTGGGAAGTGCGGCCAACCCGTTCACCAATTCCTCAACGCACGAGTGGGACCTGCGGGGGGGGGAGCCAGGCCGCAGAGGGCTGGGGCTGCAGACGCCCTCCAAAGGAGTACGCGCACATACAGACACACACACACAGACACACGCAGTCACAGACACAGACCCAGACACAGACAGACACAGACCCAGACCCAGACCCAGACCCAGACCCAGACCCAGACCCAGACACAGACACAGACACAGACCCAGACACAGACACAGACCAAGACCCAGACCCAGACCCAGACCCACACCCAGACCCACCCAGACACACCCAGACAAATATATATATATATATATATATATATATATATATATATACAGGCACAGGCACAAACAAAGATACAGACACCGTCACAGGTATAGACACAGACACAGACACACGCAGACACACACAGACACACGCAGACACAGACACAGACCCAGACACAGACAGACACAGGCACAGACCCAGACCCAGACCCAGACCCAGACCCAGACACAGGCACAGACACAGACACAGACACATACACACAGACGCACAGACACAGACACAGGCACAGGCACAGACACAGACATTGACACACACACAGACACGCAGACACCGACACATACACACAGACACAGACACATACACAGACACAGACATATATACAGTTACAGAGACAGATACAGACACAGACACAGACATAGACACAGACACAGACAGGCCCAGACCCAGACCCAGACCCAGACACAGACACAGACACAGACACAGACACAGACATAGACACAGACACAGGCATAGACACAGACCCAAACACAGACAGACACAGACACAGACACAAACACACACAACACACAACACTCACAGAGCACACACAGCACACAGCACACAACACACAACACACAAGCTCAACGCACATCACGCACATCACGCAACACACACAGCACACACAACACACAACACACATGACACACAGTACATCACACAACACACAGCACACACACAACACACAACAGACACATCACACACCACAACGCACACACATCACACACATCACACACATCACACACAACATACACCACGCACAACACACATCACACACAACACAACACAACACACAACACACGTAGCACACACACACCACTCACAACACATACACAGAACACACTACACACAACACACTCAACACACATACACACAACACACAACACACAACACACAACACACAACGCACACACACATTATACGCAACACACGCAACACACAACACCCAACACCCAACACACAACACACAACACAACACACATACGCACACACACACACACGTACACGCAAACACACCCACACACACAAGCACGCACACACAACACAACACACACACACACGACATACATCGGCCGTTGCACAGTGCGGTGGCGGACAATGCCTTGCGATCAGCTTTTCTTCGCGACTGTCGCATACTTCCGACTGACTGCAGGTACGACAACCCTTCAAGGTGGGCCAGCTTAGCCGGATGCCCGTGGCCGCTGGAGTATGAAAGCGAAGGCCTCGACACATTCGATGAAGGCGGAGGTTCTGGAGGATCTGGCATGTTCGATGCTGATGCCAGCTTCGGAGGGTCTGGCGGCACTGACAGCTCTGACACCAGTGACTGTTACTCGATCGTCTACCAGCTGGCAGTGATTGCAAGTGCCGCAGCAGCGGCCGAAGCACCTTTCCTTATTGGATGACTCCCTGCGCGCACGGGTGCGGCCGTGCGCAGAACAGCCAGCATCGCCCTTGTGTGCGATTAGTTCTGATTGTCTTAGTGCGTTGTGCTCATCTGCGTCTCGCGACGACTCTGTATACTATTGCGAGTCTGCCGATTTTCCGCGCGGAGTCAGAGGCTACAGCCAAGAGCTAAAGAAGGGAAGCTTGCGTCTCCTCTTCGCCCTCGGCCTCCGCCTGCGCCGCATCCGCCTCAGGATGGGGAACGGAAGGAGGAAGGGGAAGAGATGGAGGCAGATGCGGATCGGCGGTGGCGAGCATGTGCAATCCTTCAGATGCCAGAAGCCCGGCCCAGGGGGCCCGGGGCCAAAGACTACCATGGGGCACCCAGGGTACCTTAAGGGCCCCCTCTCGTCCCAGAGCCTCCCCAGGGTGTCCCCAGAGCCTCCTTGAAGCCTTTCCCGAAGCCCCCGGACTCACAGTACAAGTTCTGGACGTCCCAGATGGCTTCCAGTGCGCTCTAGGACGGCCCAAGATGGCCTCAAGACGGCTCAAGAGGCCCCCTAAGACGCCCCAAGACGGCTCCAAGAGAACCCCCTCGAGAGCGGCAAAAATTGTCACATTCCCGCAGGAAAATGTGCACGCTTGGCATATTCATGTTTTTGTTCCACCTGCGTCCCAGACGGCTCTGAGAGGGCCCCCAAGAGCGCCCCACGGCCGCCGAAGAGGCCCCCAAGAGGGCCACACGAAACCCAAGATGACCCCAAGACAGCCCCAAAGCGCTACAAGACGGCCCCAAGAGGCCCCAAAGAGGCCCCCCAAGCGCCCCGAGCAGCCTTCCGATCGCCCTCGGCGCCAGAGTGGCCTCCTGAGCATCCCATCGGTCCCCAAGAGGTCCCCAGAGTCCCGTAAGAACCTCCAAGACGCCCCCAAGACGCCCCCCAGTAGACGCCCAAGTGGCCCTCATGGGTCCTCCGAGCGGCCCCCGTAGAGACTACAAGATATTTCATGCACGCCTCACATCGAAGACACCTTCATTACAGCAGGTATACAAACACTAAGTATAACAACGCTCTCCCCATCACTCCTCCTCATCCTATTTCTCCTCCTCCTCCTCCTCCTGCCTCCTCTCTCCCTCCCCCACACCTCCCTCCTCTCCGCTGCTTCCTCCTCCCTTTTCCCTCCCGCCTTCCTCCTCTCTAAATCTCTTGCTTTCCTTCACTTCCTGCTGCCTTATCCTCCCTCCACCCTCCTCCGTCTCTCTGTTCCCGTCCTTCTTTCTCCTTCCTCCTCTTCCCTCTTTCCTGCTCCTTTCTCGTCCTCCGCCTCCCCACTCTCTCCTCCTCCCCTTCCTCTCCTCCTCCTCCTCTCTCCTCCTCCTCCTCCTCCTCCTCCTCCTCCTCCTCCTCCTCTTCTCTCCTCCTCCTCCTCCTCCTCCTCCTCCTCCTCCTCCTCCTCCTCCTCCCCCTCCTCCCTTCGAGCTCCTCCAGGAGACTCCCGGAGCTGTGCAGAAGTTCCAGGGGGCCCCGCGACGGTCCCAGGAGGCCGCCAGGCTGCCCACCTCCAGCAGTACAGTGAGCCCCCAAGAAGCCACCAGAGCGGCCACACAGGGCTTCCAAGAGGGCCAAATCAGTCAACATCAAGACGGATTCGAACGTATTATCCTTTATGTTATGGAATTCCCATTCGTTGCGAAAGTGTAGCTCCAAGATGGCCTCGGAGGCCCAATTGGTCCCAAAGAGAGTTGCACTATTGCCCAAGGATGACCCATGACTGCCGCGAATACGAAGCCTCAGTGCGACTTCAAACACCAACGCGGGGGCTTCGAAGCCAAGGGCCCGATAATCTAGTCACGTCCCCTCTGACACGCTATACGCTTGGCTCCATGGCAAGTAGAATTCTTCACGCTTCGCATATCCCCACCAGCCGGCCGCCTGGCACACCTGGTAGCTCCGGCAGCCCGCCTTCAGCCACCGGCGCCGCCCAGCGTCCCTCGACGACGGGGTAAAGGTGCGCCTGGTTGTCGGCTACCACCTGCAGACAGCGATCCTGGAAGACGGTTGGCCGCAGGGCCCAGGCAACATCTCAGGTGCCCTGCGTAATGCCTGGGGCGGGAAAGGCAAGCCGAAGGGCGGAAAGGGCAAAGGGAGAGATGACCTCAGGGACGACCGCAGCCGCTCACCAGCACCCGGGACAGGACCGAGCGAAACCGAACACCGACCCGTAGACCCCGCCAGATAGGAGCGAGTCTTCGACCAGCCCGACAACGACTGGACTGGCATCAGCTTGCACTTCCCTGGCCTACGGCAGATCGCCCCCACGCGCCTCAGGAAGGGCACTCTGAAGCTCTCCGCGATTGACTCCAGCCAGGGGGGCGAGTTTGACATCGTGATCTTCTTGACGACCAGGTTCCACGGAGGGCACAGCTGGGGATTCATCGACGATGCCAACAGGGTCAACGTCGCGATTACCAGAGCTACCCGTTTCGTGGTGGTCATCGGAGACGGGGGGATGTTCGCGAGCGCCACCTGGTCCAGGCTTCGGGTCCTCTCGGGGTACGGGAGGCTTGCCCGCCTCTGGGTCAGGTTTCAGAAGAAGCAGGCATCAGGCAGCAGGCAGACCCTGGCCCTGGACCCCAGCCTTGACCCAGTCCAAGACCTCGCCACCTGGGTCAGCACGCCAGTATCTTGGAAGGGCAGCGTGGATGGGGATAACGCGACGGAGGAGATCGACAACGCCATCAAGCGAGCGCGTGAATCCCTGGCCAATAGCTTCGCCGACAGTCGAGACGCCGCTCGAGCCCGACTTCAGCTGGGACGCCCTGGGAAGGTCCATCTCCGACTGTATGGGCAACCTCCTCTCTACACCAGCGTTCGCACTTGTGCTCTACCTGGTCTCAGGACTCCACCCGCACGAGTTCTCTCTTGCCGAGACCCCAGGGGCCCTGGCAAGCTGGACCGTGAGGCATGGTCACACCTGGGTTTCCTGTACGACATGGGTATAGGCTTAGATGCAAGCAGCCTGGTCTACAACATGTTCTGGGCATGCCTGGTGTGGGTGACGGGCCTTGGCGCGCCCTGGGAAGACAGCGACCGCGCCCTTCCGGGCGACTCGCTCCCATCGCCTCTCGCCTCCGCCTGTGAAAGGTCGCTGCAGTCGCCCGCGGGCAGGGCGGCAGTGCACGCCGAAAGGCTTGCTGCGACAATTCCGAGAACCCTGGAGTGCCACGACGCGCTACTGTTGCCGCCACAGGACGCATCCTGGAATGGAGACCCTGGCGCAGCTGCTGCGCGTTGCGCCCCAGGACCAAGAGTTGCGATACATGCTCAATGACGCAGACGGCCTTCCCCTGGACCCCTGGAAGGCTCGCGCCCTCCGGGTCATAATGGTGCTCATGATAAGGGAGCCCGGGGCCTTTCTGTGGCCCTTTCCCCACGCCGAAGGTATGGGCGACGTCATCGGGGCAGTGCTCGGTGTCTGCGTTCCCTGGCAGGGCGCGCACTTTGGGTTTCGACAGAAGTTCGCGGCAGCCTGGAATCTCTCGCTAGACGACCTCGCGGGGCTGCGCGGGAGGATCGAAGACGCGCTCACCCAGATCTCGCGCCTGGTAACGAACGCGCATCACCGCGATGCGGCGAAGGCCGCAGGGTGCCCACAGTCCTGGAAGGACATGGAGAAGGCCGGCTTCAAGCTCGAGGCTCCAATGATCGTCCTGGAAAAGATCGTGCCCGCGGCCAAGCTTGCTCCCCTGGCAGACTACAAGTGCTCCATATGCGCGCCCCACACGGCCTTAGCAGGGTCCGAGGCAGGCCTGGGTGAATACAGAGGCGACGCTGCGCTGGGGTACATCGGCGGGGGCACAACCCTCTCCAATGCCGATCTTGCCTCGCCCACACCAGCAGCCCCCGCGCCTGGCACGATGCTGGTCCCCATGGCCATCAGCGATGACAGGCTACAGAGCGAGCAGAATAACGCACTCTTCACCTGCGACGCCTGCTCTAAGACCCGGCTGAAGTCTAACCGCGGGACCGGGGGGGGCGACGTGGTCAGGGACCTCCTGGCCAGTAAACCGACGCCATGCCCGACTTGGCTACCCAGCCCGCACCCGCAGCAGCAGACACAACCGCGCCCGATCCCTACGCCCGCAGCGCGGCCCCAGCCGGCCCAGTGGCGAGCAGCAGCGGAAGCCGCGGCGACGTGCCCCAACCCGACTCGCGCATCCGCGCAGTCCCAGAGGTTCTGAGGGTGCTCCCAGATTTGCCGCCACCAGAGTTCCCAAGACTCCCCTGCAGACAAATTTCCACATTCGCCATGGATGAAAGCGACTCCAAGCGCAGCCGCTCCAACAAGCTGAAGGAGGCCCAGCATATCCTGGTCGCCTACCTGCGGGACTACCACCCCGCGCTGGACGGCTGGTGGTCGGGCCACGTAAAAGCGCAAGGCGCGCAGATCCCAGCGCCGAAGGATCAGGGAACCTCCTGGCCCGCCCCACTAGCTGACACCCTTCCTGGCCAGGGTCTACGGCGTAGAGATGCCGCTAGACGGGCGTCCCAGAGGCGTCCCATGGGACGGCAAGAGATGGGCTGCAGCAAGAGTGATCGGGCATCTGACGTGCAGTGCCAAGCACAAGGAGGCCTGGGCGGCGCACTGCGCGGTCCTGGCGCCCGACAAGGGCTCGAGTCCCTTTCGCCGCGAGCTCGCCGTCCTGGCCAGCTTCCTGGCCAGCCTGGGTCCCGGGGCGCTCGCGGCCGCCTCCATCGCAAAACTCGCCGAGCAAGACGCCCCTGCTGTGGGCCTGGATGAGACGCACTCGGCATTCCCAATGGAGGCCACGAGGTCCTGGTTTGCGCCGAAAGCCGAGAAGACAGCAACAGCAGGGGCCGGGTCAACCGCGGGCCCCCAGGCCCAACCCGTCGACGTGGCCCAGCCCGTGGATGCCGAGCCCTCCACGCAGCAGGCGGACCGCGCCCTGCAGGCGGCAGGGCTGGACGTGACAGAGATCCCCCCTGCTAAAGAGACAGCGGACTCTCCGACGAACCCATCGCCCACCGATAGGGCCGATAGCGATGAGGTCGATGTCGGCGATGAGGCCCGACCTGCGGCCTCGCCGCTGCCTGCCGAAGACGCAGGAGGTGCAGCTGAGCAGGAAGGCAGCTCCTTCCCACCCTCGCTCGACGCAGCTGTCGACGCGGCCCACGACAGCCCTCGACGACCCCCTGGGCGCCTTCGGGCAAGCTGCGGCGGGCGGGGGCATGACTGAGCCCTCTAGCGAGGCGCTGGCCGAGGGTTCGCCCCGCAGGCCCGGACATGGCTCTGCCGAGGCCCGGGAAGGCAGCGGCTCGCAGCGCAGGCCAGCAGGTCAAGCGGCCACAGACGGCGCCCCCGGTGGAGGCAGTGCGCCGACACCTCCCCCGCGGCACGACGCCCTTGGGGACAGGACGCGGCAGGGCCGCCAGCCGTGCCTTCGGCGATCTCGTGGATCCCGTGGGCGGAGGCCGCGTGTGCAGGGAGTTGCTAGGCAACGTTGACCTCGACAGGGTCGGCGAGAATCCAGCAGCCAAGATCGCGCGATTCCAGAAGGACCTGGGAGGAGCATTCAACGGCGTCTATCACGCACGCACCAGGAAGCGCCCTGCGGGAGCCAGAGGAAGGCCGAAAGGCAACCCTGCACTGAACCCCGAGGCCACCTGCCGCAGCTTCCTGGACGCTGGGGAACGCTGTGGATTCGATGCCTACGGGCTGGATCGACAATTCGACCTGGGGGCGGACTGGGGCGAGGAACGCACCAAATGGATGGGGCGTCAAGGCAGAGGCGGCCGTCAGCCAAAGGGCTGGGCGTCCAGCTCACAGCAACCCTGGGGCTGGGACAGCTGGTCCTGCGCGCGCTCCTGGGGCGTCGACGACTGGCAGACAGGAGGCGTGCGAGGCGGCGACCGCAACGGCGACGGGAGAGGCGACAAGCGCTCCCGCACATGGCAGTGATCCCTCTGTTCTTCGGCGAGCCAGTGGCCTTCAGCCGCTTCCTGGTGGCGCTTTCTGCCTCCCATCTCTCCCCCTGCGTCACTATAGAGCCTGCAGCCGCTTTCCTGGTTCTCTCCCCTCTCCTTCAGCACCCGCTGCCATCCGCCCGTGGGGCCCTGGCAGCTGTCTGCTGGCAATGCCAGCGCGTGGGCTGCCGCTGGGGCCGTGGTCCACATGTTCTAGTTGGCCCCTGGCTTCGCTGTAGTTGTTTTCGCTTGGCCTTTCTCCCCTCGGGGCCCCCCTCGCCAGCCGGGCGTCCCCAGTTCTCTGGCGCTTGCCACGCGCGTGCAGCTGTCCTGGGTGAAGTGCCTAGCCCCGCTATCGGCAGTTCACTTGGCTGTTCTCTGCGTGTTGCCTTTTCGTGCAGGAGTTCGCTGTCAACCTTGTCCATCGTGTTCCTGGTTGGCAGCATCAGATGTGTGGCCGATCCGCTCAGGTTTTCGGAGTCGATCGTTTCCATCGTTTTCCTGGTTGGCTCTTCTCTCGTCCTCGGAGAGGGGATCGCCTCGGATCTGTTTCTCTCAGGAGTGAGTTTGCGACTTCGGTGGCGCCACTTGTACTGGATCCTGGTCAGTGACGAATTCCTGGCCATCGGTGTCAGCATTACCTCCTGGTTCGCATTCCGAGGGGCTGCCCCCTTCAGGGGCTGGGTGCATTGATGTTTCGTGTGGTTTATCCTACGTTATGTCCTACGCGCCCCCGGCGGTCGCTTGTCAGCCTCGCTGTCTGTGACCCTGCCGCGCCATCTTGGCTGCGTGCTGCTCCTTGGCTCAATTCGTGCATCGGCGCTGCCCTCGGATCCTGGTCCTGGTGGCAGTCTGCATCGCCCGCCGACAAGGTTTCGGGCCCTGTCCCGCTTCCTGGCTCCCCCTCGCGCCGCCCGGCAGCCCAGGCAGTTTGGGCAGCTTAGTCTCGGCCGCCGGTCCCCGCGCGCCGGGCAATTAGCTCCGGTCGTAGCCCGAGCCGACTCGACTCGCCGCTGGCGCATTCGCCTGCGGTTGCGACAGAAATATCTGTACCAGCCGGCCGCCTGGCACACCTGGTAGCTCCGGCAGCCCGCCTTCAGCCACCGGCGCCGCCCAGCGTTCCTCGGCGGCAGCTTAGGCAGCCGTGAGTGCGCTCGCTGGATAATGAGAATTCGCCCGTAGCCCGGGACGATTTCTGACGCCGCCTGCGCCTTCGCTAGCGGCCGCGACCCAAAAAAATCCCCACCAGCCCATTCAGAAGCCCTGCCCACGAGAGCTGACAGGAAAAGGGACGAAGGGACACATCTAGGGAAACAAAGCGAGCAACCAGGATGGCCTTGAAAAGCCTCTTCGGGCCATCCCTGGGGGCCGCGTGGGGGCGAGGGGAAGATGAGGAGGAAGAGGAGGAGGAGGAGGAGGAGGAGGAGGAGGAGGAGGAGGAGGAGGAGGAGGAGGAGGAGGAGGAGGAGGGGGAGGAGGAGGAGGAGGAGCGCTTCCGCTTTATGTGTTCCTCATCCCTCAGACCACCTGTCGCCCAAAGGGCGGGTGGAATTTCTCAGCCATCAGCTCGTGCTGCTGCTGGTGGTGTTGCTGATGTTGTTGCTGCCTCTGCTGGTGCTGCGGCTGGTGCCCTGGAAGGCTTGTTGGGGCCATCTAGGAAAGAATCGATTAAGAAATGGGGGGTCCTCGATTTCGGCCCCTCAAAATCGCCTCTTGGAGCTGTCCTGGGGCTCTTTGGGAGGGTATTGGAGCTCTCTAGGGGCTCGTTGATGGGTCTTGGAGCCCCCTTGGGGCCCTCTTGGGGCTCTCTTGGGGCCCTCTTGGGAGCCCTGGAAGGCCTCTTGGGGCCATCTTGAAGGCCATCGATCAAAGGAGGAGATGGTATAACGTTCAGCCCCCTCCCAAGAGGCCAACATGGTGTCAAAACCTTAGTAAAACCAGTGATTTTGGCTTCTTCGCCGTGGCCGTTTTGGACGCCCTGGCATCTCGCAGAACCACCCCAAAAAACGTCCAGGGGAGGGGGTAAGGGGGAGGGGTAAACCCCTTCCCCGTAGGGGAAGAGTTTTTTTTTGGAAGAGGGAGGAGGAATCTCGTTAGACCACCTGCGCCCAGAGGGCTGGTGGGATTTGAGCGCGCGCGAAGCGCGCGTGATGGTTCTGGTAGTGAAATTAGGGGTGGGAGGAGGAGGACAAGGCGTATAATGGCTTGGCAAACTCAAACGTCATGCTCGTGCTGGCAGCGCAGAGGAATCGCTGCAGTAAAGGAGATGCTTGCTCGATGTCCTACCGCGCTGCGCACGATACCAACATGATCTGAGGCCAGGACACCTCCTCCTGCCTCCTTCCCCTCCTCCTCCTCTTCCCGACCTCCCTTCCTCTTTCCTCCTCCCTCCTCCTCCCTCCCTCCTTCCTCCTCCCTCCTCCCTCCTCCCTCTTCCTTCATCCCTCATCCCTCCTGCTGCTCCTTCCCTCATCCTAGCTCCGCCTCCCTCCTCCTCCCTTTTCCTCGCTATCCTCATTTCTCCTCCTCCTCCTCCTCCTACTCCCTCCTCCTCGCTCCGCTCTGCCTCGCTCCTCCTTCTTCCTTGTTCTTCGCACCCTCCAAATAATGAAATTACCCCAGTGCGACCCTACCTAGAAGTTGGAGCCCCTAGGAAAGCAGCATTAGTTGCTATGCTATGCTATTCTATGCTATGCCATGCTATGCTGCGTTATGCTGCGTTATGCTATGCTATGCTATGCTATGTTATGCTATGCTATGCCATGCTATGTTAAGCTGCGCTATGCTATGATATGATATGCTATGCTAAGCTATGCTATGCCATGCTGCGCTGTACTATGCTAAGCTATGCTATGCTATGCTATACTATGTTAAGCCGCGCTATGCTATGCTATGCTATGCTATGCTATGATTTGCTATGCTATGCTGCGCTATGCTATGCTATGCTATGCTATGCTATGCTATGCTATGCTATGCTATGCTTGGTTATATCATGCTATGCTATGTTATGCTAATGCAGCGCTGCGCTATGATATGCTATGCTGCGCTATGCCGCTATGGTATGCTGTGCTGCGCTATGCTGTGCTACGCTATGCTATGCTATGCTGTGCTCTGCTATGCTAAAGCTCAGCGAAGCTAAGATGAAGGTAAGCTAAGCTAAGATAAACCTGAGCTAAGCTGAAGCTAAGCTAAGCTAAGATGAAATAAACTAAGCTAGGATGAGAGAAGCAACGCTAAGCCAAGGGGACGTAACTGGGGGAACCGCGGTGCGGATACTGGGGGAACCGCCCGGGGCGCTTTCCACTGCCCGGCCTTTTAAGCCCAGAGAGTAAGAACCTTTCTATGCAGAGCCTAGGTAGGGAAATACATATTTCTTAGGTTTCATCATCATCATCAGCATCATCATCATCCTCATCCTCATCCTCTTCTTCTTATTGTTCTCCTCCTTCTTCTCCTTCTTATTCTTATTGTTGTTCTTTGTATTCGTATTATTAGTTTCCTTACTCCTATGCTCTTCTCCTATCTCTTCTATCTCTTCCTCCTCCTCCTCCTCCTCTTCCTCCTCTTCCTCCTCCTCCTCCTCCTCCTCCTGCTCATCCTCTTTATCTTCTTTGCTGGGCCTCGGGCACTGGCGGACTTTCTCTCCCCCTCCAGGAGGGATCCCTGCACGCCGACCCGTTCGTCCCGCTTAGAGCGGTGGCCGACGGGGACATCACGAGGGGAGGGCGCCGTGCCATGGGGAGGACGGGGGACGGGGAGAGTGGCGTGTGTATGGGGTAGGGGGGGGGGGAGATGGGGGGGTGGAGGAGGAGAGGAGGGGCGTAGAGGCGGGAGGCGGTGGCAGGGGACGAGGATGGGGCATTGGAGAGGGGGGGCGTGGGGATGGAGGACGCCCACGAGCAGGACCCCCTGGCCATGCCCACGCGTCTCCTGTCCCTGGCATTCCCCTGCCCCCGCCTCCGCCCACTCCCGCTCCCACGCGCGCTCCTGCCTCCGCCCATGACTTCCACCCGTTTGGTGCGCCTGCCCGCTCCCGAGATCGCGCCGCCCTCCGGCTCCTGTCCCCCGGCTCCGCTTCCCCTCCGACCGCGCGAGGCCCCGACCTTGCAGGCGGTGCCACAGGGGGGTCACCACCAGATGTGTCACCAGCTCCCCCCAGAATCCTAGAAGTCGAGGATCGGAGAGGAGGGAGGATCGAGGATAGGGTCGTTGAGGCTTTGGGCGTTTTTGTTTGTCTTTGGGAGTCCCGCGGGGGTCCGGGGGGTCCGGGGGGTCCGTCTCCTGGAGGAGGTCGCGACCCCCCCAGTGGATCGGCTGGTCCCTCTTCTCTGGTTCAAGCTCGAACCTCCCTCCTGCTCCCTCCTCCCTCCTACAGCCGGCACGCCTTGGAAGGTCGGCCCGCCCCCCCCGAATCCCCGCTCTTTGTGCCCTCGTGCTTCTGGTGGGGTCCTCTCGCATGCGTCCAGCTGTGCTCCCCCCCCCTCGGTCACCGAGCGCGTTCCAGTACTCGAAAAGTGCCTACTCGCAAACGTCTGACAAACACATGTTTGCCTCGGTCTAATGGATCGCGCGTCCCCCGCGGTTTGCGAGTAGTTACTTTGCGAATAGTGCATTGCGCTTGTCTACTCAGAACGCTCCCCCCCATGGCCTCTCCTGGAGCGCGCTCCGACCAGGACCCCGAGGCGGATCCAGCGCAGCCCCTGCGGCGACCAGGCGCTTGGAGCAGCCCTCCTCCCCCCCCCCTGAAGGCCCCAGAGAGAGGGAGAGGCGACGCGAGATGAGCGGCCGAGGCAGGGCCCATTTCGATCCGATCGATCCGACTTCACACCGATTCCTGCTGGCCTGGTCCGATTCGATTCCGCTGTGCCGACGATCCGTTGCGGCCTGATGCTTGCATGCCGCTGTTGTCACAACAGGATACGCAACAGTGTTGTGTGCAGGATGCACAGCAGGATGCACAACAGGATGCACAGCAGCCGAGTCGGATCGGCGGCGCCTGGATACATAGTGTTGTGTATCCTGGCGCCGCCGATCCGGTTCGGCTCTGACGCCGTGCCGATGCGGCCCGATCCAGCGCACATTCCGATCCGATCTGACTTCCCGACTCGATGCTGACTGATCCTGCCGAGGTTGCCGTCGACATGTTCCCGCACACCCTGCACTGCGAGATGATATCCAGCTGCCTGCGGCAAGTCCCGCCACCGTACCAGCCAGGCCTTCTCGGTGGCAGCTCGACGTGCCCGGCAGCCGTCAGAGCCTCGGAAGCAGGGGGGCGCCCGTGCTCGCACTGGGGGGTGGCGGCCTCCAGCAGACCACAGAGACCCTGCCAGACAGCACTTCGCACCCTCCGTAGCCATTTTGGCTCAAGGCCATGGAGCTCCCGACGACCGCGAGTCGCCCGCGGCGTTCCGAACGCGAGGGTCTCCGCGCTGAGAGCCAGATCTCCCGCTTGGAGAGACTGCAAGCAGCCTGCGAACCACAGGCGGTGCCAGCGCGGGCGGTCGTGGCGCGCAGCCCTGTGTCCCGTTCGTGTTAAATCGGGCCTGTCCCTCTACAGGCGGAGTATTCAAAATAGTCAAGAAAATAGTCAGGGGACGATTCATTGGGGGCATTTTTTGACTATTTTTGAATCGTTCGTCGAAAATCTGCCTGTAGGGGGACATGCCCGACCTAAACTTCGTGCTGGGTGTTCGTACTGGGTGTGCAGTGCGGGGGCGTACCGCACGTGGAACTGGGCCTGACGAGGCCCGCGCCCCGGGGTGCCGTGCGAAGGCGCCGCCGTGGGTCGCGCCCAGGGCTCGAGAGGCCAGCGAGTCCCCGCCTGCGCCGCCCGCGGCGCCCGCCGCCGATGCCGAGGGCTGCGTCGTGCAGCCGCGTGGCCACACCGCCAGGCGCCAAGCCCGCGGGGCAGCCCGAGCGGCGTCGCAGGCCTCCTGTGGCCAGCGGAAGGAGCCAGGCCGCCTTTAGCAAGGGCAGCGGGGAGGGTCCCTCGAGCGGCGCAGACGTGCGCGCCGACGTCTACGGCGCCGCGGGGAAGGCGAGTCCAGCAGCGATGGCAGTGCTTGAGGTGCCCGTGGGCCCAACGTGCGCCAGCAGTGTGCGGGGCGGAGAGCGATCCGCCGCTGGCGGGGCGGCGTGGGCGGGGCCTTGGTGGCAGCCGCTGCAAGACGCGAGTGGGCAGCAGCGGGCCGGTGCGAACCAGGGGGCCACTCGAGCTCCGGGGGAGCGCCCCACAGGAGGGCGTGCGCTGGCCTCAGCAACATGTTTTTCACTTTGCATGTCCTCCACACGTTTTGGCCCTCGTGGTTCTCATGTTGTGCAGTGTTCGAGTCTGCGTGCGAGGGATGCGGCACGGGCCAAAGTCCTGTCGAGGCTGTCGGCAGGGGCCGTTAGCGAATTCTGGGGGCTCTCGCGTGGGTCTTTTTTGAGGGTTGGGGGTGTGCGGCGTCTTTGGTGGGATGGGGCCCATAGTCATGCCTTTCGGCTGGCCCGCCTCCGCTTTTCTCTGGCCCTAAGTGGCCGCCCCGTTTGGTTGAGCTAACGCCCCCCTCATCGCTTTGCCTTTAGGCCCCACCATGCATGCCATCCCAGCGCTTGGCGCCCCAGCACGCCTCAACCCCTTAGATCCGACGTTGCGAAAGAATCGCATCATCGGAAAAAAGCACGACGGGAGACCGGGGCCCCATCTTTCGGCGCCACTTTTCGAGCCGGATCGATGTGAGGGTCTCGAGGCCCGAAAGCGAGCGGAGACGCCTGGGCCGCCACCCCGACCCCGGCTTTTCGAGGGCCCCTGCCCACTCCGGGCCGTCGTCCCGAGGCCGCGCGGCCGGGATGGCACCCCAGCGCGCCGTGACGTGCCAGGGGGCACGGCGGCGGACTGCTGCTCGAGCGCGCCTCGCGGGTGCAGACGCCGCGCCCGCGCGAGCGGCCCGCGGCCGCCGCGGGCGCCGCCGAGGCGGGCCTCGCCTCGGCCGAGGCCGCGCGAGGGACGGCCGCGGGGACCCCGCGGGCAGGCGAGCCCGCCCAAGCGTAAGCGGCGGTTGTCAGCCTCCTCCTCCAGCTCGTCCTGCTCCCTCTCCCTCTTCCCCTCTCCCTTCTTCCTCCCTTCTCCCCCTTCTCCTCGTCGTCCTCCTGATGCTCTCGTCGTCCTCGTCCTCCTCGTGCCCCCCCCTCCTCCCTCCCTCCTCCCGTTCGCCCCCCCTCTCCCCACCACCACCCCCTTCCCCTCCCCTCTCCTCCCCTCCCCCTCCCCCATCCCCCGTCCCGTCGTCGTCGTCGTCGTCGTCGTCGTCGTCGTCCGTCGTCGTCGTCGTCGTCGTCGTCGTCGTCGTCGGCGTCGGCGTCGCCGTCGTCGCCGCCGTCGTCGTCGTCGTCGTCGTCGTCGTCGTCGTCGTCGTCGTCGTCGTCGTCGTCGTTCTTCTCCTCCTCCTCCTCCTCCTCTTCTCCTCCTCTCCTCCTCTCCTCCGCTTCTCCTCCTTCCTCTTCTCCTCCTCCTCCTCTGCCTGCCCTCTCCTCCTTTGCATGCCTGTTGCCTGCCGGCCTGCCTCGCTCTCCCCTCCCCTCCCTTTCCTCCTGCCTCCCTGCGCCTTCCTCCTCTCCTCTTCCTTCCCCTCGTCCCTCTCCCCCAGTACCTCTCCCTCCCCCTCGTTGTCCTCGTCCTCTTCTCTCCCTCCCTCCGTCCTACCCCCCCTCCCTCCTCACTCCCCCCTCCTCCCTCCTGCGCTCTGCCTCTCTCCTGCTCCCTCCCCCTCTCCCCTCCTCCCTCCTGCGTTCTGCCCCTTTTCAAATCCCCACCTGCTCCTTCCTGCGTTCTCTATTTTTCCTCTTTAATCCTCCCCCCCTATACCCTTCTCCCTCCTGCGTTCTGCCTCTTTCCTCCCTCCCCCTCACTCCTTCTCCCTCCTGCGTTGTCCCTCTTTCCTCTTCCCCCATTCTCCTCCTTCCTCCTGCGTTCTGCCCCTTCTCTGCTCCCTCCCTCCCTCCTCCTCCTTCCTGCGTTCTGCCTCTTTACCCCCCCCCTCCCCCCTCCCCCTCGCTCTCCCTACGGCTGGCGCTGTAAAGATGGCGTGCGATGTGGCGCCGCTGGCCCGCTTATTGCACGTTATCCCCACTCCGGGTATAGCGTGCACCGACGAGTCCCTGGCAGGGGTATAGCGTGCACCGACGAGTTCCTCTCAGGGGGATGGCGTGCGCAGAAGGGGCTCTCGCGGGGGGATCGCCTCACAGGACTAGCGTGCTTTTCGGAGATCGAGGTTGCACGCTATCTTTGCAACGCCAAGCCGTGCGCATCCCCCTCCCCTGCCCACCCCGCGAGTCGCGGCGCGCGCCGTCGAGAGGTGCGGACGGTGGAGAAAGGCGCCACGATGGGGCAAGCATGGGCGAAATGGGAGGGGGAGGCGGAGGGGGGAGGGGAGAGGTGGTGGTGGAGGCGGAGGCGGATGTGGATGAGGAGGAGGAGTCGGAGGAGGAGGAGGAGGAAACGGGCCAGGGAGGGAGGGAGGGAGGAAGGGAGAGAGGGAACGATGATGCTGATGCTGATGCTGATGACGATGATGCTGATGCTGATGCTGATGCTGATGTTGATGATGATGATGATGCTGATGATGATGATGATGATGATGATGATGATGATGATGATGATGATGATGATGATGATGATGATGATGATGATGATGATGATGATGATGATGATAATGATGATGCTGCTGATGCTGCTGATGCGGATGCTGATGATGCTGTTGATGATGACGATGCTGATGCTGATGGTGACCCCCCCCTCGAAAACCGGGGGGGGGTCACCAGTTCGAACCCCTCCCCCCCCCAGTCCATCATGAAAAGGGGGGGGGTCACTACCAGTTCGAACCCCCCCCCTCGAAAACCCGGGGGGGGGGTCACTACCAGTTCGAACCCCGCCCCCCTTCGCCACCGGCAAACAATTCCCGCTCCTCGGGACAGCGGGACAGTGGTGGGGACAGTGGGACAGTGGTGGGGACGGTAGTGGTGGGGACAGTGGTGAAGGCGGTGGTGAGGACGGTGGTGGGACAGTAGTACAGTGGGGAGAGTGGTGGGGACAGTGGGGACAGTGGGACAGTGGTGGGGACAGTGGGGACAGTGGGACAGCACAGTGGGATAGTGGTGGGGACAGTGGGAACAGTGGGACAGTGGTGGGAACAGTGGGACAGTGGTTGGTGGTGGGGACAGTGGTGGTGGGGACAGTGGTGAGGGCGGTGGCGAGGACGGTGGTGGGACAATGGGACAGAGGTATAGTGGGGACAGTGGTGGGGACAATGGGGACAGTGGTGGGAACAGTGGGACAGCTCAGTGGGACAGCGGCGGGGAGAGTGGGACAGTGGGACAGTGGGGACAGTGGGGACAGTGGGACAGTGGTGGGGACCTTGGGGAAAGCGGCGAGAGTGGGACCGTGGTGGGAACAGTGGTGGGGACAGTGGGGACAGTGTGACAGTGGGGGGGCACTGGTGGGGACAGTGGGGACGGTGGTGGGAACAGCGAGGAGAGTGGTGATGAGGACAGTGGTGCTGGGGACAGCAGTGGGGGATGTGGTGCGGACGGTGGTGGGGACCGCGGAGTCGTTTTCCGATGCTGGATAGTGGTGGGAACTGGTGGTGGGGACAGTGGTGCGGGGACAGTGGGACAGTGATGCGGACAGTGGTGGGGACTGTGGTGGGGACCGGGGTGAGGGGACAGCGGGACAGTGGTGGGGACAGTGGGACAGTGGTGGGGACGGTAGTGGTGGGGACAGTGCATGGTGAAGGCGGTGGTGAGGACGGTGGTGGGACAGTAGTACAGTGGGGAGAGTGGTGGGGACAGTGGGGACAGTGGGGACAGTGGGACAGTGGTGGGGACAGTGGGGACACTGGGACAGTGATGGGAACAGTGGGGACAGTGAGCCAGAGGGACAGTGGTGGGGACAGTGGTGGTGGGGACAGTGGTGAGGGCGGTGGCGAGGACGGTGGTGGGACAACGGGACAGAGGTGTAGTGGGGACAGTGGTGGGGACCGTGGGGACAGTGGTGGGAGCAGTGGGACAGCTCAGTGGGACAGCGGCGGGGAGAGTGGGACAGTGGGATAATGAGGACAGTGGGGACAGTGGGACAGTGGTGGGGACCTTGGGGAAAGCGGGGGGAGTGGGACCGTGGTGGGAATAGTGGTGGGGGCAGTGGGGACAGTGCGACAGTGGTGGGGGCACTGGTGGGGACAGTGGGGACGGTGGTGGGAACAGTGGGGGCAGTGGTAGTGAAGACAGTGGTGCTGGGGACAGCAGTGGGGGATGTGTTGCGGACGGTGGCAGTGACCCGGGAGTCGCTTGCCGGCGGTGAGTGGTGGTGTGTGGGGTGGGGGGGTTCGAACCGGTAGTGACCCTCCCCGGTTTTCGAGGGGGGGTGGTTCGAACCAGTAGTGACCCCCCGCGGTTTTCTGGAGGGGCGGGGGTTCGAACCGGTAGTGACCCCCCCTGGTTTTGTGGAGGGGGGGGGTTAGGGGGGGTGGGGTTGCTGGGGGCAGGGGGGGGGACGGGTTCCAGCGGGGGGGGGTGATTTTCGGGGGGGGGGGGACCTCCGGGTTCCAGAGGAAGAGGGGGGGGAATTTTTCCACAGTGAAGCGGCGGTGGATCACGCTCTCCTTGATGATGATGATGAGGGTGAGATGAGATGATGATGATGATGATGATGCTGATGATGATGATGATGATGATGATGATGATGCTGATGCTGATGATGACGATGATGAATGACGATGACGATGACGATGACGATGATGAGATGATGATGATGATGAGGAGGATGAGGATGAGGATGAGGAGGAGGAGGATGGGATGATGATGATGATGATGATGATGATGATGATGATGATGATGATGGTGATGGTGATGGTGATGATGATGATGATGATGATGATGATGATGATGTGATGCTGATGCTGATGCTGATGATGATGATGATGATGATGATGATGATGATGATGATGATGATGATGATGATGATGATGATGTTGATGATGATGATGCTGCTGATGATGATGATGATGATGATGATGTTGATGATGATGGATGATGCTGATGATGATGATGATGATGATGATGATGATGATGATGATGATGATGATGATGATGATGATGATGATGATGATGATGATGATGATGATGGGAGTGCGGGCACATGAATGATGCCAGGAGCGCCTTTGTCGTTGCTCCCGTGGACCCCTCTTCTCTCCGTGCGTGTGCGCCCCGATAATCGCGCCTCGCTCCCTGGGGGTCCTCGCTCCGTCGTGTTTGCACTGTCTGGGCAAGGTTGGTCCTGCCAGTCAGCTCTCTGTGTAGCTGCTCTTTTTGGCTCGAGGACTTTCTCTACGACCTGCGGCCTTGAGCTGCATGCAACCCCAGGGCTTTCCTGCGTTCTGGAGCGGCCCCATCACTGCTGTTGTGCTCTCGCTGAGTTTGCGGAGGCAGCCCTGCCCGCCGGGCCCAGATCCGCCCAGCTGCGAGTGCAGCTGCCAGGAGGCGGTGCCGTGCCCGGACGCCACGCCGTGCGTCTGCCCCAGGTGCCTGGAGGTGGCGCCGTGCCCAGAGTGCCCGGCCGTGGAGCTGGGCTGGGAGGAGGTCGCCGCCATTGGGATCGCCAGCTGGGTGGTCCAGACGGCACTCGCTGTGGCGAAGAGTGTGGCAGTCAAGGTTGTCGGACGGGGTCGTGTGAGTCATGGCGCTTGTTGGGCTCGACGCGGGGGAGGCGTGCTTGAGGCGCCTCCTTCCAGGTAAGCGGTTTCTGGCGTGGTACGACGCGGACGTCGTGTACCACGAGAGGATCGCGGTGTGGCCACAGACGCGGGACAAGTGGTTCATCCTGACCCCCGATTTAGACATGTACGCCGACGTGCTGGATGGCAGCGAGGGCGCCGACGGGGTGACGCGGCTCCTCGACTTCCGCCCAGGTGGGCGGCTGCTTCCGCTCGACAAGGCAGTGCTCTGATTCACGGGCGCCCTGCCCCTGGACGAATTGAAGAGCTACATCCAGGAGGGGCGGCGCCTGGCCTTGGAGGACGGAGCCGCGGCGGGCGATCCGCCGGTCGAGGTCACAGACGCGGTGATGCCAGATCGAGAAGTGGTTCCCCTGGACTCCATGTTCGGCGGCCGTTTCCTGCCCCGCCGCCTGGCGGCGGCCCCCGCGGCGGGCGACGGGCCCCCAGCCGATGCAGCCGCCGGAGCCGCGGCGGCTGACGCAGCGGGGCCCGCGGCGGTGCCTGAGGGACAGCTGGTCGAGGAGTAACCCCAGCGAGGCCCGCAGGACATCCCGAAGGGTTACGCCTGGCTGCTCATGGAGGGCGGTCGGGCTGGCGGGCTCGGCGATGAGGTGAATCTCAGCTTCGATGACTACGGGCTCTCAGACTACGACGCGATGATCCTCCGCCACGGCCAGGGCCGACGCGCTGGACTCGTGCCGCTGACGGAGTTAGACGAGACCATGCGCGCCCGCCGGGAGGAGCTGGTCGCCCAGTTGCAACCAGCAGGAGCGGGTGCTCTGATGCCGCCGGCGCCGGAGCCTCCGCCCAGCCCAGCCGGCGCGGACGTCGCCGACGGCGCGGCGACACCGCCCCCCCTGGGCCGAGGACGCACGCACGTTGTGGATAGACTATGATGATCAGGGCGAGGTATGCAAATCGTATCGCAAGGCCGTCCAAGAGAGCTTCCACGTCCCCGACCAGCATTGGCCCTTAGAGGGCCCGTCGACCTACCTGCAGGTGGTGAAACACATCGAGCGCAGCGGGGGGGACCCGCGCCTGTGGCTTCAGCTGTGGGCGTGGACGAAGCAGGTGGACGTGAACGACAGAGTGATGCATGAGCTGACCTGCCTAGTGGATATGATGTTCTACGCCTCCACGTTCGACCAATTGAACGCACCCGCGCTGGCCAGTTTCGAGGTGCTGGCGAGGCGCTTCCAGACCATCCTGGACGCTTGCAAGATCCCAGGGAGAGCTCCGCACAGACAGATGGCACGGTTCTACAGTGGCGTGACCGCCGCCGTGGATGCCATCACGCCCGAGCTGAGGCAGTGCGGCGCCAAGCGCGCCAAGGAGGAGATCGACCTGGAGACTGGGGCTCAGCGCGTGCGCGGGCTCCCAGGCGCCGGCGGCGCTTTTGGCAGCGAGGAGGCGCCTGGCGGCGCGCGCAGCCGGCGAGGGGCCTAAGGGCTGGGGCCAGGGTCGCGACGGCGGCCGGGGGCGTGGTCGGGCTGGATTGCCCAAGGCCGGGGGCCCCTCGGCCGCCGAGAAGGCATGAGTGAGGAGATGGCCGAGGGGAGTGGGCCCCCCCTCGGCGCGCAGCTATCTTGACCCGGTGCTGGGCGCCTCCCGGCCTCTCGCGGCGAACGTCACCTGTTCCGTTTGCCGCGGCAGGAGGGGCCGCAACCAGCGCATGGAGGAGGTCGCCTCAGCCGCGGACTGCGAGGTCGTCATCTGCGCGTTCGGCTGGTGAATAGGGCGGTCGACGCCTTGAACTGGCTGGCGAAGGTGGCCGGCTCGCCTGCGGTCGGCGGCGGCGGCGGCGCTGACATCCACAGCGAAGTGGCTGCGCGCGTCGATGGACTGGTGCGAGCCCAGGAGCCGGTGCCGGACGCGCCTTCCCCGAGAGCGGCCTATCCCGAGCTGCTCCGCGGCTCGTGCGGGGAACCGGGCCAGCCGAACATAGCTACCTTCCAGCTCGGACTTGTCTCGTTGCCCGAGAGCGCCCAGGGCGCGCCGCGCCTGGAACAGCTGCTCGACGCCGAGGGCCTGCGTTTACTGGAGGGTCGTGGAGAGCGGATGCTGCGCAGCGTCCCAGATTTTGAACGTCTCCGCCAGAGCGGCCCAGTGCAGCCTCACCTGGGCCCTGTGTTCACAAAGAGTAGGCGGTTGCTGGTTCGCCTCATGGGGAGGCTGCACTCGATTGGCATGCTACGATATACGTCGGAACCCGTTGAATTCGTTGGGGCCTTCTTTCTATGGAAGAAGGGCAGACAGAAGATGATAATGATTACAGATGCGCGCCCTGCCAACCAGCGCTTCCTTCCTCCTCCGCGGATGGACCTGCTGACGGCGGAAGGCCTGTCGCGCCTCGAGGTCGTTGTCGACGACGACCCGTGCCTGCTGAAGGGCGCGAGCTGGGGCATTCTGCGGGCGCTCCGCCTGCGTCTCGAGGTTGGCGATGTCGAGAACTGTTTCCACAGACTGGTGGTGCCGTCTTGGACGAGCCCCTATTTCGCCTTCTCAGCCTTGGCGGTCAGCGAGATGCGCCTGGACTCGATCAGTGAAGACATTGAAAGGCCGCGTGGCAAGCGGCGATGATCTGATATACCCGTGCTGCAGAGCCCTGCCGACGGGGTGCTCCTGGTCGCTCTGCTTCTGCCAGAACGCGAACTCTGGCTTGGCGCGGCAGTGCGATCTCTTGCGAGAGGCCAGGTTGGCCACCGACCGCGGCGAGCCCGTGGTCTTCCGGCTGGGCGACGTCCGCGAGCAGGGCCTATGGCACTACGTGTACGTGATACGTGGACAACTTGGAGGTGCTCGGGCTGGATCCAGGAGCGGCCAGGAGGGCGCTGGGCGAGAAGGTCGCGGCGTTCAGCAAGCTGCGGCTCGACATCCGCGAGGTGAGGTGGAGCTCTTCGAGTCAAAGGGGGCGGCCCTCGGCGTGGTCGTGGACTGCGAGCTCCTCTGCGCCGCCATCGCCGGCAATTGGCCCTGCCGCCTTGAGAGGGCTCTGGCCTACGCCTGCGACGCAAGCTCTCTGGCCGGGACCTGGGGCGCCTCCTGGGCCACTGCGCTTGCGCCGGCCTAGTGAGGCGCGAGGTGCTCAGCGTCCTCTCGGCCAGCTACGCTTTCATTCGGGCCGCATGCTGGGGGCGGCAGGAGATGTGGACCTCCGTGCGCGAGGAGCTCAGCTGCTTCCGAGGCCGTCTGGTTTCCCTCGGCAGCGACTGGGTGCTGCCCTGGAAACGCTGCGTCACCGCCTCTGATGCGTCCGAGAGCGGCTTCGGCGTCACCTCCACTATGATAGACGCCAGGGAGGTCGCCCGCGTGGGGCGCGTGGCCGAGCGGGGCCGGCTCCGCCTTGACTTGGAGCTGGCCCCGCGCCAGCGCGCCTTGCAGCGCGCCGGCTTCGTCGACGGCGAGGGCGCCGGGCCCTGGCGCCCATCGGCGCCCGAGGAGGCCTCTGCAGGCGCCTGGGCACTCGACGAGGACTTCAAGTAGGTGCCCGCCAGGTGGCTTGACCAGGTGCGCTGGGGCCTGTGCCGCAGCGGCGTCTGGGCCAGGGCCGAGGGCATCGCCATTTTGGAAGCCCGCGCTGTCCTGGCCGCCGTGCGTCGCCTCGCCCAGACGCGGTGGGGGCACGACATCAGGCGCCTGCATCTGTGCGATAACATGGGAGTGGTACTGTCGATCTGCCGATCTCGATCACAATATTTTTCAATGTTGGCAGTCATCAGGCGTATCAATGCTTACCTCCTGGCTCGCAATATTCGTCTCGTCGTCCGCTGGGCCCCGAGTGAGCTCAACAGTGCAGACGAGGCCTCTCGGATTTTTGATGACAGTGCTTCCTGCTCGCTGGCCTGGTGCATCCCGTCTCACATATCACGACCAGAGCCCAGGCCCCCGAGGAGCCCCAGAGTGAACATGTCGTCAGCAAGCAGACTTCGGAGCCACATTATCATCATGTGAACGATACTATTATTGGACAGGACTGTGGCTCAGGGCACGCCCCCGCCGCGGTGGCCCCACGGCGCGGCCTGCCTGCTGCGGGGCCGCCGCCAGCACGCGCGCCCTCGCCCGAGGCGAGGGCGCGGCCGAGGCCGCTGGCCTCGCCGCCTCGGCGCCGTGGGACAGCGCTCCCGGCGCGGGGGCGGCCGGCAGCCAGCCGCGGGCTGCATGGGCGGCGGTCGGCAGGGCCCGACTCCGCCGAGTGGCTGAGGCAAGCTCCATGACCTTGAGCCCGCGATGGGATCGACGGGGCGACGGCTTGCCCTGGGCTTGCTGAGGTGGCTGAGGGCTCGCTGAAGCTCAGGACGTTCAGGGTGGGCTGAGGCTCGAGCTCAGCTTGCTCATGGCTGTCTTTAGGCTGATGATGAAGCTGATGTTGCCCACTATGTCCTCGTTCTATGTGATGGCTGTTAGCTAGAGGCTCTTGGTCACCTGCCCGCCAACAGTCAGGCCTGCCTGGCGGCGGACCACGTGGCGTCGAGGGCCGCCGAGACGCTGGAGCAGCTGGCGGCGGCCATGCCCGACCTAGCAGGCGACGGCTTCGCCGGGCAGCCCGATCGTCGCCGACGGACGCGATCGCCCTCGCCGAGCACTGGCGCCGCGTCCGTCAGCGGGGTCGTCGGCGCCAGGCGTCAGCGGGCGCTTCTGGACCGTTCCAAGTCCCGCCTTCGCAAGTACCTCGAGGAGGCCATGGAGGCGCACGGGGGCGGGCTGACCTTGCTGGAGAAGCGGGCAGTGACGAGGCCCGTGCAAACGCAGTACCGGCTGGATGTGGATCGGTTCAGGCAGCATGTCGAGTCAAAGGGGTAGAGCGTCGACCGCGGCGGGGATGCCGAGTTGGACGGCCATTTCGCCGAGTACTTCGAGACGACTTTCTTCGCCGGCGTGGAGGCCTCGCGAGGGGCCAGGACGCTGGCCGGCTGGCTGCACCTCCACCCGAGCTTCAACCGCCTGGGCTCGAAGCGTCTCCCACGAGCCTGGCGGGCGCTTCGCGGCTGGTGCAAGTAGTGCCCTGGCCGGTCGCGGAAGCCCGAGGCGCTGGGGGTGTGGTTCGGGCTGACGAACGCCTTGGTGGCGGCAGGACGTCGCGACATGGCCCTGTTCGCGCTGATCATGTTGAGCACCTATCTCAGGCCCGGGCAGCTGCTCAGCGTTCGCGGCCCGGGGCTGACGCCTCCGACCCAAGGGGTGACTGTTCGCTGGTCGCTGCTGGTTCATCCCGAGGAGCTGGCGGGCAGGACCAAAGTGGGTGATGCGAATGTGTCTATCCTCCTGGACTCGAGCTGGGCGAAGTGGATCGGCCCAGCGATGAAGGAGCTGCGGGAGTCGGCTGGGGACGGCCCGCTGTGGGCGTTCGACTACGGCGACCTGCTGAAGTTCTTTCGGCGCGCGGCACGGGACATCGGGGTGCCCGGGCTGCCCCCCCATCAGGCTCGCCACTCAGGCTCGTCCATCGACGCGGCCAGGCACCTGAATGCGCTGGCCGACATCAAGAAGAGAGGGCAGTGGCGAGCGGACAAGAGCGTCCTGCGGTACGAGCGGCGCGCACGTCTCGCCAGCGGCTGCCGCGAGCACCCGATCGAAGTCCAGAGGTACGCCACCGAGTGCGAGCGACGTGCCGAGGCGATCGTCCTCCACGGACAGGTCGTCCCGCTGCCGCTCGTTGGCGTCCGCGCGTGAGAGACGTCTACTTTGCTGACGCCTTCGCCGGTGAGGGAGGCGTCGTCGGCGCGCCATCAGGAGGCGTGGTTTCCAGGCGAGAACATGGGAGAAAATGCGCGGTGAGCATGGGGGCCTGACGCGCAGAAAGGTGCTGCGCCGCCTCCTTTCAGACATTCAGTCTGGGAGATGTCAAGGGGTCATGCTGGCGCCTCCCTGCGCGTCTTTCTCGATTGCCAAGGTTCGTTCAGCCCCGATCAGAAGCCAAACCCGCCCTTTGGGGCTTCTCTCGCTCCGAGATGTCTGGGAAAGATTGGACTAAGCTCACTATAGGTAAAAAGTGTCTGCGCGCGGTGCTAAAGATAATCGCAGCTTGCAATCGCTCGAGTGCCCCCTGGATATTCGAGAACCCGCACCGTCGGAGGTGAGGGAGTGAGATCGAAGTGGAACGGAGAGTCCACCTAACGGGAAATCGGTTTCGGTTTCGTGTTCGCGCGTGCCGTGCGTGCGGGCGAAGCGAAGCTGCGTGGGCGGGCGAGAAGAAAGTCTCCTCCGGCTGAGGCGCGGCCGGACCAAATGTTTCCTGGCCGGGGCCGGTGGGGCGCGGTGCCTCGCCGGTGTCCCGCCTTTGGCTGAGGCGCGGCCGGGCCATATGTTTCCTGACCGGGGGCCGGTGGTGCGCGGTGTCCCGCCGGTGTCCCGCCGGTGTCCCGTCGGTGTCCCGATGATGATGATGATGATGATGATGATGATGATGATGATGATGATGATGATGATGATGATGATGATGATGATGATGATGATGGTGTCGATGATGTTGTTGATAATGATGATGGTGATGGCGGTGATGAGGATGGTGTCCCGATGATGATGATGCTGATGATGCTGATGTTGGCGATGTTGATGCTGATGAAGGTGATGGTGGTGATGATGATGGTGCCCCGAGGATGATGATGTTGGTGGTGATGATGATGTTGCTGATGATTCTGATGGTGTCCCGATGATGATGTTGTTGATGATCTTGATGATGTTGATGATGATAATGTGGTGATGATATGTTCATGATGAAGATGACGATGGTGCTGGTGTCCCGATGAGAATGTTGATGCTGATGAAGTTGATGATGATACTGTTGATGATGATGGTGATGATGTTGTCCCGATGATGATGATTATCTTGGTGATGGTGATGATGACGATGACGGTATCCCATGATGATGATGTTGATGATGAGGATGATGATGAGGTGATGATGCTGATTTGATGATGGTGGCCCGGTGATGGTGATGATGATGCTGATGTTGATGGTGATGATGATGATGATGCTGATGATGATGGTGTCCAGATGATGATGGTGATGATGATTATTGTGACGATGATGGTGATGTTCCGATGATGATGACGTTGATGATGCTGCTGATGATGATGGTGTCCCGATGATGATGATGATGATGATGATGATGATGATGTTGATGATCTTGTTCATGATGACGATGCGATGACGATGATGATGGAAGTGTTCCGATGATCCTGGTGCCCCGATGATGATGATGCTGATGATGATGTTTATGATGGTGATGGTGACGATGATGGTGTCCCGATGCTGATGGTGATGATGATGATGTTGGTGATGATGGTGATGAGGTGCTGATGATGATGGTGTCCCGATGACGTTGATGACGGTGATGTTGATGATGATGGTGATGACGTTGATTGTGAGATCGAGTGTGATATCGATAGTGAAATAGGTAGTGATACCGAATGTGAGATCGATCGTGATATCGATCGTCAGATCGATTGTGAGATCGATTGAATGAAATAGATCGGGTGAGATCGATTGTGAGGTCCATCGAGTGAGATCGATCGAGCGAGACCGATCGTGAGATCGATAGTGATACCGATAGTGAGACCGACCGAGTGAGACGTTGGTTCCTCCCCCCCAAACGTCCTTATCCTGAAGGGTGGTCGTATAGGTAGTTACATGTTTAAGACCCCTGAGTTATTAGAACTCGCTCAGAAGCGCTTCGTCTCAACAGTTGTATCCGACTTCTGTCAGTTTGGCGCCAGATGGCGGAAGCGAACGCGTTTTTTGATTGGCCATCTCCACCCCGATGAGCTCACAAGACTGTCCAAGACTTGTGGCGGGCAAGCCGACATTTGCAGTCGAACCGACAAGCCCCACCTTCAGCTCGAGGGGGCCTCTCCAGAGGGGATGAGATGGACCACCATAGCCCGGACGTATCCACAGGCCTTGAATAGGCCTTGGCAAAAGTTCTCGTGTCCCGGGCCATGTGTGAGTTTTTCAAAGTTTGAGCGAACATCCGTTTTTGGGATGCTAAGGGATTTTGAAGTGTGTTTGCACTTAGCAGCTGCTGATATGAATATTCAGTCTCGCGAAGACTTTTTTATGTTCACGAGAACTTAGCCACAGTAAAACAATTCTTTCTGCTGGCGCAGTTCCCCGCCCCAGCTCTAAAGCAGCATGATGATGATGATGATGATGATGACGATGATGATGATGATGACGTCCACGACGACGACGATAATGATGCTGCTGATGATGATTATGATGATGATGATGATGATGATGATGATGATGATGATGATGATGATGATGATGATGATGATGATGATGATGATGATGATACTGTTGATGATGATGGTGGTGATGATGATGACTTGACTTGCGCTGGCTATAGGCGGTGCCTGGAGCTCTTCAGTGACTGCTGCTGTGTCGAGAAAAAAACCCGAGCAACACGAGGCGTGGTGCCTCTGCTCAGAGGGGGGAAACAACTCACACCAGGAGAAAGGGATCCCCTGTCATCACGGATGCTGACACGAAACAACGTCTCGATATGAATCGTGTTCTACCTGTGTCGTCGGACCTTCGCTGGGCGCTGGTGTCCGAAGGGGTCCCGCGGGCCAATTCCACGCTTGCGTGCGCCAGGGCCGCGCGAGGGCGTTGCTAGTGCGCGCGCCCGGGTGTCGCCGCGAAGGTTAGCGGCCTTCTGCGCGATGCGGTCGCGCAAATCCGCGGCGGATATCTCCTCCGCGCTACACTCGGGCAGCTCTCCTGAGAGCATCGCGGCGCGACACGCTTTGGAAGAGAATTGTAAGTGGTGCAACGCCCTAGGGCGGGTGCTGGTAATCTACACCACAAGCTGGGCACACTGATCCAATGCAGAAACTACGAGCAATCATTTTCCTGCCGTGCTTGCGTTTCAAATGCGCGACCAAGCCTTGCGGACCCTTGCACTGCTTGCCGCAGGCGGGGCAAGTGAGGAGAGGCTTGGCCGAGGCAGCCGGAGGGGGAGGCCGGCGGGTCGGGCGGGTCAGGAATCCACCACTTCATCAGGGCGGCTTGGCTCTTCAAGCGCCGAGGGGATTCGACGATGTATGCCTTCCACTTCTCCGGGTGTGCGGAGGGCGAGCCGAGCTTCTGCCCTACGTCGGGGAAAGCCACCGCGAACTGCTCGAGGTCGTAGAGCAGCATCTGCGCCGACGGGGGCTTCGGGAGAGCTTCGACCATCATCTGGACTACCTTTGGCGCTGTCGGGAAGTGGGATGCGAGCTGGGAGAGCCTCCGGGCCCGGACCATCGACGCGAGGAGCGGGGCGTGCACCTTCTGCCTGACCTCCTCGTCGGTGGCCGTGTCAGGGGCCCCGTAGCGCATGTCGCCCGAGATCCTCCTAAGGACACGATGGTACTGGCCATTCATAATGGCCATGGCTTGAGGGTCGTCTCCACGCCAGGCTGATATGCCGTAGTGACTCTTCGAAAAAACCGAGCTTGTAGCTACAGTCGATCGCGTGGAGCACCGTAGGGAGTTGCATCCAAAAATGTGCACCGCTAGGGGGGCGTAGGTTTGCTGGGCCTTGGGCGTCTTTTGTTTGGCATCCAAGATGTGCTGACCAGACGCTTGCAGCGTTGCGCCGAGGTGCGGGAAATCATGTACAACTTCGAGCTCTAGTCCTGCAGGTGATCGATCGACCGACCGCCCCATGGAGAGGACACATGTCCTCCAGGTCGCACGGGAGCCCTGGCCGTACATCCGCGCCATGATCGCAGATTTCCCAGGTCCCACGTTGATCACGAAGCCGACCCTGCGGAACTCCTCGGTGATGATGTCCACTGCCGGGTCAACCTGGGCGAGCGACTCCTGAGGGGAGTCGGCCAGGAATTCGAATGTGACATCGTCAACATATTGCTCGTCGTTGGGAGCCTGCTGCAAAGTGACGTGATCGGGGCTGCTGTCGAAATCAGTTGCCCAGGGCACGGAGGCGTGCGTGGACATATTCATGCTGAGCTGGATGCCGCTCTCCTGGAATCTGTGCCGCACTCGCTTGAGGGCCAGCTCGTAGGCTATGTTGAAGCGCACCGCGCCGAGCCGACAGCCCTGACGAGCGCCGCGGTTTGCGGCGACCACAGGGCCCCGTTCACCTCGCACCTGGAACCACATACCGGAGTGGAGGTCAGCAGCCCTTGCGGTGGCGTGCTCGTCCATGCCCGCTGCTCGGAGGAGCGAGGGGTTGTTCTGCAGGTGGCGTTGGGCCTTGTCGGCCACGTCACGCGGGATGCCTAGATCATGCAGCTGATCCGCAAGTACGTGTAGCTGTCGGTGGCCTGCTGCGTAGAGGTACTCCCGGATGACGCTGTCAAAGGCTTTGGCCAGGTCGAAGAATAGGATGGCCCAGCACTGGCGCATGCGGACCGCTCTTTCTGCGAAGGTCTGCAAACCGACGGTCAGGAGAAGCGTGTCTCGTCCTGGGACTGCGCCACACTGCGCATCCCCTACTGCGTCCTGCAGTACCTGGTAGACAGGGTCCGAAATCTGCATAGTGTAGAGCTTGGACAGGTGGTCGGAAACCAAGTTGCTGCGACCCTGCGGGGGCAATCAGATATCGCCCTTGCGCTTCCAGATGTCGAAGACCTTGCCCCCCTTCATGCTGACTGGGAGCTGGCATCGAGAAGCAGAGAGGTCGAACAGCGGCAGGAACGCGTCGAGCGACACCTCGTCGCCGGCACGCCATACCGAGATGCCGATGCCATCGGGGCCCAAGTTTTTCTTGGGGTTCAGTCTCCGCATGTCCGCCTTTACGCGGGCGCGCTCCATGGATATCCCGTCGGGAGGCACTGGGACCCTTGGGAGGTTGGCGAGCAACTGGTCCATGGAAATGACCTGTCCCGCAAACAGTTCGGCCCAATGCCGGCGCCATCGGTCCAATATGTCCTGGGGATCAAGAAGGAGTTCGCCATGTTCATGACGCACGGCACGGAGCGCACGCTGCCCCCGAGGTGCGCGAATCTCACGCGTGATCTCGTAGAGGGTCTTGTTATCGTGCTGGTCGTCTGCCCCCTGCGCCCTTGCGGCGAGGTGATCAGCCCACTGCTGGCGACTCGCTATCCTCCGTGATGGAGTGCTGCCAGGCCTGCAAGAAGTAACGGAGCTTCGCCTGCCTGGTGGCCCAGATGGCCCGAACCGTCTGCTGACGAATCCGCGGTGTCTGCAAGACCAACTGCCAGGTGGTCTGGGAGAGTCATTGCTTTCGCGCTACCTGCGTGGCCTCAGAGAAGAAGTGCGCCTCCTGCAGCCTCTGAACGACCCGGATGAGTTCGGCGTGATATACCTCGGGGTCCTCAGGGAGCAGCGCGTGTAGGGCAGGAGCTGCGTCTCGGAGATCGGCTGCAAAGGCGTCACGCCGATCAGGATCGCGAAGTTTGAGATCGTCCAGACGCCGTTTTGGGGGTCCGCGAGGCAGTCGCTTTTCCCCCAGCATGCTCGCCCAGACGTCCCTAGTTGTGAAGACCATGGGGTCCTGCTCCACTCCCGCGGCGACGGACTTCCAGAGCCACCAATCCGTGACCCATATATGGTCAGAGCGCTTCGGGAAGAGGGAATTGCCGAACCACGTCGGCTCGGTGCAATCATGCCACTCTGCGACGTCTGTTAAGGCGAAGGCCTCCTTGAGTTCCGCGGAGAAATAGCACTTGGCATTGCAGCCGTTGACGCCGTCGTCGTCGTTAGCGTCGATGAATACCAGGAGCCTGCTCGGATGGTTTACCTTGCCTAGTTCGGTTTCGAGCTCTGTCCAAAAAGCCTGCCTCTCCTCATAGGGGGCCACCGCCGTTGGAACATGGGCGATCATGATCTGCCTCTGCGCCGTGGTGAGGTCCGCGGCGGAACTCGAGGCTCCCGACGGCGTCGTGGCCTCGGGGGGGGGGTGTTGCGGGCTCTCGGGAGCCGCTGCATGTAGCATCGCCGCCACGGTCTGAAGTTGCGCTGTAACGCCGCCAGTCCCCTGCGGCGGGGCAGCAGCCGTTGTCGAAGAACTTTAATCCGAGTTCTCCGACGACGGCTGATGATGATGATGATGATGGTGATGATGATGATGATGATGATGATGATGATGATGATGATGATGATGATGATGATGATGATAATGATAGTGATGGTGATGATGATGATGATGATGATGATGATGATGATGATGATGATGAGGGTGCTGAGGATGCGGATGATGCTGATGCTGGTGGTGATGATAATGATGACGAGATTGGTGCTGCTGCTGGTGCTGATGCTGATGCTGATGCTACTGCTGCTGATTATGATGATGGTGGTGGTGGTGCTGGTGATGATGAGTGTGATGGTGATGGCGATGATGAGTATGATGATGATGGTGATGATGATGATGATGATGATCAGGATGATGCTGGTGATGGTGGTTGTGGTGATGATGATGATGATGATGATGATGAGGATGGTGTTGATGCTGATGCTGGGGCTGATGTTGATGCTGCTGATGATTAGGATGATGATGACGATGGCGATGCTGACAGTGATGACGATGATTCTGATGATGCTGATGATGATGATGCTGATGATGATGCTGACGCAGATGATACTCATACTGATGTTGATGCCGATGATCATGCTGATATTGATGATGATGCTGCTGCTGAGGATGATACTGGTCATGATGATAATGGTGGTGGTGGTGCTGATGATGATGCTGCTGCTTCTGGTGATGATGCTGATGGTGGTGATGCTGATGCTGATGATGATGGTGATGATGGTCATGATGATGATGATGATGATGATGATGATGATGATGATGATGATGATGATGATGATGATGATGATGAGGATGAGGATGAGGGGCACGACGTGATCATGCAGGTGTTCTTAATATCTCCGCCCGCGCCGCAGGCCCTGATTGATCGCTTCGAGTCGGGCAAGTTTCCAGAGGCGGGTTGCCTCTCAGCACAGGGGGATAGCTGGGGCGAGAGCGCGCCCACACCAGTGTAATCTCATTCCCTCCTTCCCTCGTCTTTCCTTCGCTCGCTTTGCCTCTGCTTTGAAAGATCAGGATCTGGGCATCATCGAGACGTGTTCATTATGCTGAGACCTTGGGTGACTCCTGGGAGCATCATGGGGGAAACAATGGGTCGTGGACAAGAAACTTCTTCGAGGCCTCTTGGCGTCTCTTGACAGGCCTCTTGGGGCTTCTTGCAGGCTTCCTTGGGCCTCTTGGGCGCCTCTTGGGCGCCTCTTGGAGGCTCTCTCGGAGGCCATCCTGGGTTGTGGGGCCTCAGTGACCGCTTTGAGTTCCCTCTCTGGGGCCCCTCTTCGGGGTCTCTTGGGACCCTCCGGGGCTGTCTTCGGGTTCGCTTGGCCGTCTTGGGGCTTTGTTGGGGGCTTCTTGGGTTGTGTCGGACGCTCGAAGCCGTGTGTTCGAACATTTTTCTGTATCAAAAATCACCAGTTGTTTCAATGATTTTGGCTTCTCGGGTTGTCCCGCAGGGCCTCTAGATGGAGAAAGATGTCCGCAGGAAAACCCCGTGACGGTTCCTTGGGGCTCCCGAGTGGTCCGAAGCCTTTTTGAGCGTTTCTTGGAAGGCTCTTTGGGGGATATTGCAGTCGGTTTGTGGGTGGGTTGAAATTTGGCTTCCTGGAGGCCCACGCGAGAAACGCCAGAAGCGCCTGGCAGCGCCCAAGAATTCTGGCATATTGGTGGTCTGGACGTTCAGCAACCTACGTGTCCTCTAGCATACATATCTGTATGAGCCTTGGGGCACTCCACCACTGGCTGAAGGCGCGGTGTTGAACATTCATATGTGTGCATATGTACAGATATGTGCGTGTACATTTACAGACACGTACAGCGAGAGATATTGAGAGACAGAGAGAGAGGGAGAAAGAGAGAGAGAGAGAGATAGAGAAACGGAGACATGAAGACAGCCAGAAAGAGAGAGAGAGAGAGAGAGAGAGAAAGTCACACTCTATTCATGGGTTGTTCCTCTTCGACCTGTCGAGCGGAGCGCGTACCAACGGGCGTGCGCTCGAGAGTGGAAGATTCGAACGAATGGCGAGGACGGGGAGGAGGAGGAGGACTGGGAGTCAGAGAGCGTAGAGCTGGCGATAAGGGCGAACCTTTGCGCTTAACGCGCGCAGTGTTTTCTATGCCCCCGCCGCCGAAAGGGGACACAGCATCACTGGAGGGTTGGGAGAAACGAAATGCCCATGCGCAGCTGGACTAATATGTGTGCCATTGAGCGTTATCGCCCTCATTCACACCCTGCCTCCTCTTCGAACGTGTGTCCGTGGGAGCATACGTGTGGTAAGGAGGAGGATCAAGAGGGAGCAGGGCAGGCTAAGTATCCGGACAGCGTGACCAACAAGTGCTTGAACATGTGCCCCTCCAGGGAGCGCGTGAGTCAGGAGAGAGACTTCATGCTCGAGCCGCACTTCTTGTTAGCATCACTCATGTCTTCTCCTTCGCTGAGCCCCACCGTGACACAGCGAAACTCATTTCAACATGGTGTGTGTGTGTGTGTGTGTGTGTGTCTGCGTCCCTGTGTGTGTGTGTGTGTGCGTTTGTGTGTGTGTGCGTGTGTGTGTGTGTGTGTGTGTGTGTGTTTGAGTGTGTTTGTTTGTTTGTTTGTTTGTTTGTTTGCGTGTGTGTGTGTGGTGGGTGGGGGTGCGTGCGTGTTCCTGTGTGTTTGTTTCCGTGTGTGTGGTCCCGTCTGTGCGTGTGCGTGTGCGTCTGCGGGGGAATGACTTACTTCAAGCATTGTTCTCTCTTTCCCTTCCTCCTCATGTTTCTTTGCTTTTCCCACAGAGCGTCGTCTCGTGCTGTTCGCCAGAAGTCCCCTAAAGCCCCTTCCAGTCTGAGACCCTTCCTAAAGGCGTCCACACAACACCCAGGCCACCTCGAGAACGAGCGTACATCAGTCGGCTGCTACTCGTCCTCCTCATTTGTTTCCTGCTCTGGATCTTCTGATCCCACTCCTAATTCGTCATTGTCTTCTATGTTCGGCCCGTCGTCATCGGCCAGCTGTCGGCCAGTCGGCGCCGTCTACGCCGAGGCCCCCTAAATCCCGCTCAAGCTTTAGATCATATAGAAAGGCGTCCAAACAACACCCAGGCCACCTCCAAAACGAGCGGATACTAGCCATCGTCATCGTTTTCCACCGGCCACGAAACGACCAAGACGGCCGCGATATTTACAAATCAACGATTCTTCCAAACCTGTTGATGAATTCGGATTTGGTGCACGCGGCCCCCAGAACGCTCCAGAGGCTTCCAAGAGGCCTTTTGACGGCGCAAAGGCCCCCAAGGCGCGGAAGAAGGTTTGGGTCTTTGACCACGACAAAGGACTTTTCATTGCGTGCCCCTCTTGTCACGGTGGGGCTCGCCACCCCTTCTCCGAACGATGAACTTCACCCCAATCGCGGTCATCAGCGTCGCCCCCTCGTCGCGCCGACCCCTGCCCCTTTCTGACGACTTTCGCATCCACCCCGCTCTCAATGCCCGCGGCCCCCACTCGCTCGACGTCGTGACCTTCGCCCACCTTGCGGTCATCACATCCGCTCTCTCGCTGCCAGAAGCGCATTTTGTCATGCCCTTTTCTCCTTCTGGCGACCAGGACCGTCTGTCTCGTCGTGACCGTCTTCCTCGTCATTCTCGTCCTAGTTTTCCTCCTCCTCGCCCTCGCCGTCCGAGCTGTGGAAGTTTTTTCATTTTGGGAAAAGGAATAAAACAAAAGACAACTGTTGACGCTTATGGCCATGCTCCCTGAACGTCATGACCGCAACCTCCCTCGTGGTCACCACTTCCTCCCACCTCGCATGCGTGACTTCGGCCCCGTCGCGCCAGTGCCCTTTCTCCCCAACCAAGGACATGCCAGTGGCCCGTTGCGGGATGATGACCGTGGCCCCCCTCGAATCACTGATTCGTCGACTGGTTGGAGGCCCATGGACAAAGGGCCAAGGTTGGGGCGAAGTGAAGCGAGCCCTCAAATCTTGTGTACATATAAATATATATATGTATATATGTATATATGTGTATATATGTATATGTACATGTGTATGTATATGTGCATGTCTATGTGCATGTATATGTTTAGGTATATGTATATGTAAATGTAAATATATGTGCATATGCATATGTATGTGTAAATGTATGTCTATGTCTATGTCTATGTCTATGTCTATGTCTATGTCTATGTCTATTTCTATTTCTATGTCTATGTCTATGTCTATGTCTACGCCTATGTCTTTGTATGTATGTATGTATGTATGTACGTGATGTATGTCTGTCTGTCTGTCTGTCTGCCTGTCTGTGTCTGTCTGTCTGTCTGTCTGGCTGTCTGTCTGTCTGTATGTATGTATGTATGTATGTATGTATGCATTTGTGTATGTAGGTATGCATGTACGTATGTATGGATGAATGAATGCATGTGCATGTATGTATGTGTATGTATGTATGTATATATGTGTATATATATGTGCATGCACATATCTCTATATATAATATATTATATTATAATATAATATGATAATATATAATAATGATAAATATAATATAATAAATCTCATATGATATAATATAAATCATAATATAATATAATAGAATTAATATATATGAATATAAGTATAATATAATATTTATAATATAAATATTATTTATTAATAATTATTAATATTATATTATATATATATCCCCGTGCACGAGGCCAGGGCGCACGGGGCGGCGACCGCGACGGCGCATGGGGGGACCGGGGCCTCTGGGGCCCCCCCGAGACAGCCCCAGACAGCCCCGAAACGCCACCCGAGAGTCCCAGGAGGTCTCCAAACGTCCAAGACGGCCCAGAATCCCCGAACTGTCGCTCCCAGACGCCGAAGATGGCTCGCAGACGGCCTCCGAGAG